ACATATATACAAATATACATCTACATACATAATTATATACATATATATATATAGACACACTTATACATTTACATATATACACACTTTTACATATATAAACAATTTTTTTAAAAACCTTTTAAAAAATTACAGAATTTTAAAATTTATTTTTTAAAAATAAAATAAAAAATCACATATACATATATACACAAATAATATATATATATATATATATATATTTACATATGTATATATACATATTCATATATATACATATATATCCATATATATATATATTGAATATGTATATATATATGTGAATATGTATGTATATATGTATAAATATATATATATATACATACATATTCATATGCATATATATACATATATATATACATTTATACATACATATATACATATGTGTTCTCCTTTATACATACATGTATATATATATGTATGCATGTATGTATGTATAAATGTATATATATGCATATGAATATGTATGTATATATATATATATATTTATACAATGTATATATGTATATGTATATAATTGTGTATAGATATAAAAGTGTATATATATGTATATGTAATTTTCTATTTTATTTTTAAAAAATAAAATTTGAAATTCTGTATTTTTATTTTATTTTATTAGTTTTTAAAAAAATTCTAGAAATTTTTTATTTTTATTTTATTTTTTATTTATTTTCTGACGTGGCTGGATGATGTGGCGAAATATGCTGATTTGGCGAAATTTGTATGACATGGCATGCCACGTCAGCATTAAAATTGACGGAACATAACGTCGTTTACGGATATGGAGGAAATTGCAACACATTTTAAGATTTTGTGTAGGAATTTGGAAATATTTGAAATCCGGTGTAGTTTTTTGTCAAATTAAAAATTGGTGTAGAAAATTGGAACTTTTTCAAAAATTTGTGGGGGAATATGGGATTATCCCTTTTTTTATTTGGTAGAAATTGATTTTATTTTTTATTGTCAAATCGGACCTCTCACCACAAACTTTTGGTTCGATTTTTTTTTTAATTCAGTTTTTTCTTTAATTTTTTATGTGGGTAGAAAGTGGGGGCATATATGTTACCGAAAGGTGGTCAAATGCATGGCTGTCTCCGCTTAATTCGACCGAATCCCACAGCTAAGATTCAGCACGATAACTATGTTTTTAGATATCCCACGCGGAAATAAGGTATCCGAAATATTAAATTATATATATTATGAATTTTATATTTTTTTCGATTTACTGTTCGGATATCCAGAAACATATTTAATTTATTTATATTTTACAAAATGTTTTAGTGCTTGTTTGTAAACTTATAAATTCATTCACTTATTGTTTATATTGGTTTTGCGTAGTGTCCCTCTCTCATATATCTCGTCTCTTCGTTCAATCACTTTTTTTTTTGTTAAACTTCGTTCAATCACTAGCTTTTGCATCTTCATTCAACATCATTTTGGAATATCTCATAATATCCTCATGTATCTTTACATATCTTTATAGTTATGGCAATAACAATTATAGGATTCTTGATTGTAGCAACAATAGACTCTCGTACATGTATATATAAGTTGTGTATATTCACCAAAGATGAACAAGTTAATTTGGAGAAACTTCTTTACATCACATATATATATATATATATATATATATATGTATGGATATCCGGATATTTAAAATTAGAATAAATGAAATTCGTAAATATTGTAATTTAAAACACAACCTTATCACTCGAATTTAAAATAGGATATATATATATATATATACGGTGGGATACCTAATATTTGCCAAGGGTACTTTAACAAAAAAAATATTTACCAAGGGTACCCACAACTAAATGCAGAGGGAGTAGACGTGAATTGTGTCCTACCAAATATAATTGCATTCGACAAATACGTGGGCCTTCTCACCCTATTTTTTATGATTTATATTTGCATATAAACACAAACTTGAAATCGATTACTTTAATTAATAATCTTTTTCTATTTTAATTTTTTAATAAAATATGAAAATTTATACGTTTAATGGAAATTATTATTTTTTTGCTATTTTTGTATATAATCGTATTTAAAAACACAATTAAATAAACGCGATCTTAATTTCTAATAACGTGTGACACGCAAATTCTAATAATTAAATATTACTAATCATATCCAGCTTTCTAAAAAAACAAAACTTTGAAAGATATTAAAATTTTTAAAAGAAAGATATTTTTATGATTTGTATTTAAGTCCCAGCAAAATTAACTAAAATGTCTTTGACCCCTCTTTCCCATTTAGAAGTCTTCTTTGTCACAACATTTGAAATCTACAATTTTAAAATAAAAAAATATCGATATCGTTTATTAGTTGTCACGAACGCATAAAGAGTTTTGTTAATAAAATCGGAATGTTAATATTCTTTGTTATCTATGAAAATTTTATTGCACATTATGTTGTTGAAATAATTCATATTCTGATCCTTTATATTATAAAGTTTTGGGACAAATAAAATAAAAAAACCTTTTAACTATTCGATTTACACTAAAAAAACTTTCTATTAAAAATTCAGTATAACAAAATCACCAACTATTACTTTTGCACAAAACACACCATTAACTATATAAATTATTTAAAAATAATATTTTATCTTAAATTTACTATAAAAAACCAACAACAATTAATTTTGTTATAAAAATCTATAAAATTTGAATAAAAAGCATATATAAAAATCATCATATTGCAATATTTAAAATTTATATAAATATTTATAAATATCACCTTTAATATAATAAATTTGTATACAAATGTTATACTTAAAATTAAATATATTTTATTAACTATAAATATTGAAATTTATATTATCTCTTACGTATAAACTATTTGTTAATTTATACAATATCAAGTGTAAAAACATCATATTTTATTTCAATTTAGAAAATATATATTATCTCTGATATAATTTATATATAATTAAACACCATATTTCAATACAAATTTTTTATAAAAAAAATCAAATTGGTAATTTTTAATATCTCAAATATTAATATATGATAATATTTTAAATATAGTATTTACAATCAATAAAATAAAATTTTAAGTATAATATTTATATACAAATTTATTATAAAAGGGTAATATTTATATAAATTTTAAATAAATATTATTTTTTATGATTTTTTAGAATTATATATATATATATATTTAGATTTGATAATTTTTTTATTAAAATTAATACTTGATAGTTTTATATAACAAATTTAAGGTAATTCTTTTAAACAATTTATATAGTTGATAATGTTTTTTTTCAAAAATAATAGTTGATGGTTTATTATAATGAATTTTAAGTAGAAGATTTTTTCTTTGATGTAAATAGAATAGTTAATTAAAGTTTTAAACGAGTTCCAATAAACAAATTTTTAAGGGTTGGGATTGATCTTTCATATTACGGTACACCCTTATATTCATTCCATTATTACATGAACATCCGATTCTGGGATAATGAGTAACACGAAAATTTATTTTTTTATTAATCCAACTCTAAATTTTAATAGAAAAAATATTAATATTCTAAAGTCACTAACAGGAAAAAAAAACTTGCCCGCTCACCTATCGCCTGTCAGTTACGGCTGATTTACCTCTCACGCGTGTGTTGCAGGCTCGTGCGTGTAGACTTGGGTTTACTCGATCAGCGCGTCCGAAGGGTAGCAGCCGGGGTTCCCAATGTATCAAAAAAAAAGTGTCCTCTTGATAGGGAAAACCTAATATTTTAATCATTAGACAAATATTTGGATGCCACCGTACTAGAGATCTTGCGAGAGGTGGTTTGTGGAGAGATTTGTCCATTTGTTCACGGTTAAATTGTTTTCCATTTGACATTAAAATATATAAATGTAGAAAAAATGAACACCATTATCTTCTAACTTTCAAATTTGAATATTTTTTATTTTATTTGTTTAAAATTGATTTTTTAAAAACTTTTTCACAGGCATATCATTATTAAAAATTAATATTGTATTTGTTAAATGCATTTTGGTTTAGTTAAAAATGAATTAAATCAAATATTAAATTCGAATACAATCAAATCTAAAATATGATATAATTTTATTTCATAATCAAATTAAAAATTGAATTTAAATTTAATATAAAATAAAAAACAAATGAAAGTTATTTTTTTTCAAAAGTATATGTTTCTCAATTAAAATGAATTAGAGTTACACTTAAAATGGACCAGAATCTGAAAAAAAAAATAACAGACTGGATATATTTTTCCACATCTCAAAATTCCAAATAAAAATAAAATCAAAAATAAAAATACCAATCATAATAATAATATTTTAAAATGTCAAAGTTTTGAAGGAAACAACATAAACGAAGAGAACAACTGAAGTATAAAAATGCTGATTCCTTAATTATCAATAATCCAAATTTAATGTTAATTTATTTACAATTAGATGCCAGCAACAAATTTGATCTATAATCAGATTTTTTTTTCGAAAAATATTGAAATTTAACGGCAACGAAAAATTTTGGATTATAAGAATGGCTTTGTTATATATATATTTTTTAAATGTCTAGAAAGAAAATTAGATTTGGCAGAGAGATTAGTTTCCTAAATCATATGGATAACTAATATTCCTTTTGTGTCCCACCAAGAAAAGGACGTTTCAACAAATTCGATATATAAATTTCTATTTCGAAACAAAAAATTAAAACAAATGATCGCAGGCTTCTTTTGCCATTTGCTAACCATCAAATCCGAAGACCAAAGAGTCTCCTTCTCGTTGGAAATTATTCCCACTTTTTAAAAGAAAATTAAAAAAGGCAATTGACTTTTTTCTATTTTTTTTCCTCACTTAATTACAAACATTTATTCGTTAATCCTTTCTTTTGGTCAATCTGAATTTTTTTTAAATGTTGGATTTCTCGGATTCCTATCTTTAAAAAAAGAAAAGAAAAAGATCACAGCTTTGGCTGACCATCTCCACGCTACCCAACAACATACCTGCAAATAACCCAACTGGGGGCCCCCGTCATTTCCTTAACACTTAATATTTTCCATTTTCCTTTTTTGTATTCCTCTGTGTTTTTTTTTTATATTCTTTGCTTGATTCTTGAATCTCTCTCTCTTGTATTTTGGGGTTTTGTGCGAAGAACAGATCTTTGGCGAATTTGGGATGGTGGGCATCCTTCGAATGATCCCTCTGTTCCCTTGAAGGCTTTGAATCCGTCTTCTTTTCCAGCTCCTAAATCCGTTGAATCATAGGTATGTTTGTGTATTTACATTTATATATGCGTCTTCATAAGCATAACCATTTCTTTTCAAAATTTGTGGATTTGGTTGGATATATCGTATTTTCCTAGGGTTTTTCATCGTTCCTCTGGATTTCCAGTCTTGGAAGTACTGAGCAGCCTCTCTCTCTCTCTCTCTCTCTCTCTCTCTCGGTGTGTGTATCGATGTTCTGTTCGAGGAGGAAACAAGGCAAACATTTGCATCTCTCTCTTTGTTGGGTGTGAGTGTGAGTGTGAGCGTGGGTGTGAGTGTGAGTGTGGGTGTGGGGGTGTGTGCATAAAACAAGTTCTCTTTTTCCCAAAGTGAAAACAGAGACTTGTGTTGAAAATGTGTGTGGAGTTTATGTTTTGTTGCTGTCTCTAGTTTCCACAAGAGAATCTAAACTCCATTTTTAGTTTCTCAGACGATGGGTCAAAGTCAAATCTTGTCCATGCTTTAAGAAAATTCCCTAAAAACTATTATGCTAAACATAGTTGACCTACAGATCTGTAGGCCTTTATGAATGTTCCCATTGCATAACTCTCCTCCAAAGAGAGAAAGCGTGTTCCTTTCTTCATGCCAAATAGAGTGAACCATAGAAATAAATGGAATGAGTATCTTTAGAAGATGAAAAATAAGTGATTATCTAACTTTTACATGCTAGCTTTGAAATTGGTGTTGGCTTGACAATCATGATTACAGTGTTCCTCATGTTCAAGCATGTTTTGTGTTTGTATGGTTCTTGCCCTTGATAGTTCAGCATGATTTTAACAGGTCAGATGGACCCGATGCCCGTTGGATGTCTTCTCAACAGCATGTCTCGTTACCTTCATCTGGTTTCATGCCGGATTATAAAATTTATTCCCGTCCAAACGTGTATCGGAAATATAGTCCTAGTGCTGAAGCTCTTGAGACCGGTGCTGGATGAAGTTGTTGATTGCAAACTGCCTTCTGATGAGTGCCTAAACAGAGAGTGTGAAGAACTAGATGTGGCCGTTAATGAGGCTCGTGAATTCTTGGAGAACTGGTCTCCGAAGATGAGCAAGTTTTGCAGTGTAAGTGGTCGATCAGCTCTCCATTTAATTTCAGGGTCTCTCCCCTGAAATTAACCTTTGAAAAGATGGAAATATTTGGAAAATGAAGGATTATTTCCGTACAAGTGTCTTCTTGTTTTGCTGCATCGAACTAGCCCAATCAGCGACCAGAGCATTATGCATTATATGAACATAGATCAAATGACCGGGATCGTTCATCTTCTTGGTTGGTGTGACCGGTTTGACATAAATAAGCCCGATTTTGCAAAACCAAAATTCTTAGTTTGCATCTCAACGTGATCTTATATTTTGTTTGTTATTCCATGTCACAGTCGCGTGTGAATTTTCTACGAAGTATCTCATTTCTCATTTTGCTGCAGTCAATGTATCATAAAGGGATGATGATGTCTTATGTATTTGATCTATTATGCGCTGAGGAGTGGGGATGTGAGTTATAGTGTTTCTATTTGCTTATTTTACAGGTTTTTCGATGTGAAATGTTGTGGTCAAGGATCCAAACTTGTTCTTTGGAGATCTGTCACATACTTCTTCAGTTAGCACAGTCAACTCCAACTACTTCAAGTCTATCAGGAGTTGAGGTAAACCGGAAATGCTACTTCCTGTTTAGGGACTTATCATATGCATTTCAAGTTAAAACCGAAGTATAACTTCTTGGAACTGTTTCAGCTTTGTATGCAGGAGATCGAGAGTCTTGTTAAGCAATATGGACTGCTGACCGAGCATATGGAAAAAGCTTTGAAAATTCAGGAAGATGACGTTATCTCTTCGGATAATCATCTTGAAAACTTAGTTCAAGCTCTAGATTTGATACCAATCCATGATCTTTTAAAGGAAAGCATTGCAGTGGAGAAGGAGAGGATAAATGCTGAGGCCAGTAAATTGAAGGAAAAGCTGGATCAAGCTGTGAAATTAGTAGATCTTGTCTCATGCATCCGTGAGTACATGCTTAGGACAGAGTTTCTTGAAGTGGCAAGTAGTGTCCCAGTTCCCCCATATTTTCGTTGTCCCTTGTCAATGGAACTCATGCTGGATCCAGTCATAGTCGCTTCTGGACAGACTTATGACCGGACGTCCATCCAAAAATGGCTTGACAGTGGGTTGACTGTTTGTCCCAGGACGCGAAAGATTTTGACCCATAACGAACTCATCCCGAATTACACTGTCAAAGCTATGATAGCGAGTTGGTTGGAGGCAAACAATATCCGCCTCGCAGGTAACTCTGTTCAATATGATGGTGAAGCTTCATCCATGGCAACTAACATGGCTTCACATGACATTGTACGTACCGAAAGTTTTCGTTTTTCTTTAAGGAGCAGCAGTTTTACCTCAAGATCGTCTCTTGGAATAGAAAACGGGATTGAGAAACTAAAGATCAACGAGTCTGCCAGTGTTTGTGGGGACTCCAATTTTGCAAGAAGCAAGGATCTTGAAATTTTTGCCCGATCATCTCCTGAGCAGTCGTATACTCACAGCAGGTGTGAATCTATTTGCAGTGCCGTTTCATCTGTTGATTATGTCCCCTCGGTGTCGAATGAAGTGATGAGTCTACCGGGGAACCATGGAAGCTTCAGTGGGATGTCTTCCAAGACAAAATCAGAAAGTTCAAGCAATGGTAACCACCTTCATGATGCAGCAAACACTTTGGCGTCTTCTGAACAAATTTTGGATGGTACAGTCACAATCACGGCTTCTCATGCCATGAAATTGGTCGAAGATCTTAAAAGCCGATCAAACGAAGTGAAAACTGCAGCAGCAGCAGAAATACGTCATGTCACGAAAACCAACATGGAGAATCGTATTGTGATTGGCCATTGTGGTGCTATCGTTTACTTGCTTTCTCTGTTATATTCTGAGAAATGGGTAACTCAAGAACACGCTGTCACGGCTCTTCTAAATCTGTCGATCAACGAAACTAATAAAGCCATGATTGCAGAAGCTGGGGCACTTGAACCACTGGTTCATGTTTTGAACACAGGAAATGACCGAGCCAAAGAGAATTCTGCAGCAACTTTGTTCAGTCTATCTGTTTTGCAAGACTACAGGGCAAAGATAGGGCAGTCCAATGCAGTAAGGGCTCTTGTGAATCTTCTTGGAACGGGGACGATTAGAGGGAAAAAGGATTCTGCATCTGCTTTGTTCAATTTATCGATATTTCATGAAAACAAAGCTCGTATAATACAAGCTGGAGCGGTGAAGTATCTTATTGAGCTGTTGGACCTGAACTCAGTGATGGTTGATAAAGCCGTTGCTCTTCTTGCTAATCTTTCAACGGTTGGAGAAGGACGTAGAGAAATCGTGAAGGAAGGTGGGGTCCCATTGCTTGTAGAGACCGTAGATTCGGGATCTCATAGAGGGAAAGAAAATGCGGCTTCTGTGTTGTTGCAGCTCTGTCTTAATAGTCCCAAGTTCTGCACTTTGGTTCTGCAAGAAGGCGCCATTCCCCCACTTGTTGCCTTGTCTCAGTCTGGCACACCTAGAGCAAAAGAAAAGGTGACACACGCTTTCAATGTCTCAGAATAAGAAACGCATGTCATTGATGCATACCCTTCACCATATCTGAAGGGTTACTGATTCATGCTATATATCTGAGGTTAGATCAGGAAAAAAGTTTAGATTTTTAATAGACGTATCAATATAATTGAATGGGTTTGGAATTCAACTCTTTTATAGTATCATATATTGGACCCAATGTCGGGAAAAACCTGGAATGTTTTCCCTTGAGGCTCGGATTTCTCAATCTGGTTTTTGTGTAGGTCTTGGATCACTGAGGTTAGGCAGCATTTCTCTCTTCGGCTGTGTCTTATAACATTCGCTTACATTTCATTTCTCGTTGTGTAAAAAGATCAATTCTTGGCAAAATATGCCAAAAAACGATGGTGTTAACTGAATTCTATAGTGTTGTTCTACAAGAAATCAATCAGATGTTGATGCTCCTTGTTCTTGCAGGCACAGCAGCTTCTCAGCCACTTCCGCAACCAGAGAGAAGCAAAGATGAAGAAGGGGAGATCGTGAAGAAACTAAGACCGCATTTTTCGTCCCGAGCATTCCCCGCGAGTTTTTGGTTAATAAGCCGAAGATTTTTGTTGTTGTTGCCAGGAACGTAGCTGGATTTAGTGTATTGGTTGATAGTTTTGACACTGTGTAATGTGATATTGCCATGTATGTATGTATGCATTAGTTATGTACAACTTGGGAGTTTGTGTGAATATACGCAATGTAGTAACAAGTAAAGCGGTTTCCTAGTGTTGAATCAGGGTGTGACCAAATTTGCTTACAAATACACGGTGACAAAAAAAAATGTTGAGAAACAGGACTCGAACACGAGTGAAAATTATTTGTACGGATTTTGCAACATCATTTATTATCTGTCTGAAATATCATCAACCGGAATTCGGTATCCGGTTAATACCTTCAACAAACCGGATCTCGACTCATCAATATTCGGATCCCCCGGTTTAGACAATTTTGTTTTTCATGGTTTAACGACAATAATACCGACGCGCAGATCTCCACCGACACGATTGTCGTACAATCACCGATCTCTCTCCTCCACTACCACGGAGACCAAACGGCCCACTATCGAGATTACGCTTTTGCCCTTTCCCTTCCACCGTCACTTGCAATCATCATTCATCATTCATCTTCCCCATCTGATCTCAAGCAAACACAAATCCAACACCCAACTGAACCAGAGAAGCCCGGAAACTCTCCGACGTATCAACGATGGGATCTCTCCCTCCTCCTTCTCTCGACCACGCATTTCTCAGCAATGGCGGATCCGAGATCTCCCGCGACGATCTCCTCAAGCTCTTCAGATCCCAGCAAGACCACCTCAACCACTTCTTCAAGCACCTGGATCTCTCCCAAACCCTAGATTTCGCCCGAACCCTCCTCTCCTCCTCCGGATTCATCTTCTTCACCGGCGTCGGCAAATCCGCATTCGTCGCTCACAAGGTCTCGCAGACCCTCGTCTCCCTCGGCGTCCGCTCCTCGTTCCTCTCCCCTCTCGATGCCCTCCACGGCGACATTGGCGCCCTCTCCGTTGGAGATGTCCTCGTCGTCTTCAGCAAGTCCGGCGCCACCGAGGAGCTCCTTCGCCTCGTCCCCTGCGTTAGGGCTAAGGGCGCGTTTCTGGTCTCGCTGACGTCCGTTCCGGGGAATCCACTCGCCGGAGTTTGCGATATGAACGTGCATTTGCCGCTGCAGAGGGAATTGTGCCCGTTCGATCTGGCGCCGGTGACGTCGACGGCGATCCAGATGGTGTTTGGTGATACCATCGCGGTCGCTTTAATGGCGGCGAGGAATCTCTCCAAGGAGGAGTATGCGGCCAATCATCCCGCCGGGAGGATCGGCAAGAGCTTGATTTTCAAGGTCTGATTTCTGTTTTCCGTCGGAAAACTTTTATACATTGTTATGAATTCTTCTACAAATTCTAGAAATCATGTTTCTCCATTCGTCAATCAATCTGTTCCAACTTGAGATCTCTAGTCTCTGTCGATAACTCCATAATCTGCATATAGGGTTCCAATATGTTTTGCACATTACTTAGTACTTGTTTGATTAAATGCCATAGTTTTGGTTAAAATCATCATAAAATGAGCTCCTCTCCTGGTTGTTGTTCTATTTGTGATCGAATCTCGCTGTGTCACACGAATGAGTGTGATTTTGATGGAATGTCTGGAAATCTAAGCGTGTTATATAGAAAACATAGCTGCATCGCCACCAAGTTCAAGAATAAGATCGATATGAGCACGTAGAGTTCATCTTCATCATTTGATATGGTTACGAATAAGTGTAAGAATCTACAGATTTTCGTTATCGATGATGAGGAGGTGATAAGTAAAAATTCTGTAACTAATGCATGTAAATCTAATGCCTTTTTTTTGCAGGTAAAAGATGTTATGAAAAAGCAAGACGAGCTTCCGGTGTGCAAGGAAGGAGACATGATAATGGATCAGTTGGTGGAGCTGACCAGCAAAGGATGCGGGTGTTTGCTCGTTATAGACGAGCATTATCGCTTGATTGGTACATTCACTGACGGTGACCTTCGTCGGACTCTCAAGGCAAGTGGGGAAGCCATCTTCAAGCTCACTGTCGGAGAAATGTGCAATAGGTCAAAACAAATGGATTCTATACATACCCTTTTGCTTTAGCACCTCAAAAAAGTTTAAATCTTTTGCTGAAATTTTGGTTTGGGCATTGTAAACAGAAACCCGAGGACAATCGGACCCGAGGCTATGGCAGTGGAAGCAATGAAGAAAATGGAGTCTCCTCCATCACCTGTGCAGTTCCTTCCCGTGATCGATGGCGACAACGTTTTGATCGGTATTGTAACTTTGCATGGATTGGTTTCGGCCGGTCTCTGATTCACAAAAAAGGCCAGTGCTTGATTCCGCGATCGGTAGCAGTGACAATGTCCTTCATATGCAGTTAATGATAAGTTCATTCTTTTATCCCATCTAAAGGGAAATGATGTGTTATATTGCAAATTCTTCCTAGGCTGTTGTATTGTATTTGGTACCCTATATTTATTTTTTATCTCAATTTTAAACCCTATATTTATTTTTTATCCTAAAAAATCATGTACTTTTAGATTATCTCTAAAAAAAGTTTGTACTTTGCATTGGCAATTTAAACCGTTACTTATTTTTTATCCTAAAAAATCATATACAAATAGATTATCTCCGAAAAATTCTTATACTTTACATATATATATATATGCAAAATACAGAAATTTTATGGAGATAATCTAATTTTATGGAAAGAATCTATTTGTATAGGGACAAAAAATTCTTATACGTGTTTTGTCCTAAAAACCTTGTACAATTAGATTATCTCCATAAAATTTTTGTATTTTGCATATATGGACAAAAATAATGTGACACTCGTATCCTGGATGTACCACATGGGTGAAAACCAATAATATAATTACCAAAGTCAAAATATGAGAATTTTTAAAACTTTTCATTCAAACACGCAGTGAAATTTAAAATATTTCAACAATCAAATTAAAATTATACACGTCCGAGATAATATTTAACACAAGCATAAAAGTTTAGAATCACACTCTCGAATCGGAGTAAATACAAAAATCTATTATATTATTAGTTTTTGCCCATGTGGCACATCATGTTCACGGAAAGCGGGATACGGTCGTCATATTATTTTTGTCCATATATGCAAAATAAGAGAATTTTATGGAGATAAACTAATTGTACAAAATTTTTTAGACAAAAAATGAATATAGAATTTAAATTGTCATAATATGCAAAGTATAAAATTTTTTTGAAGATAATATAATTATATAGGGTTTTATAAGATAAAAATAAATATATGGTTTAAATTTGTATAATATGCAAAAGTACATGGTTTTTTTGGAAATAATCTAAAGTTCAGAATTTTTAGCATAAAAAAAATAAGTTTAGAATTTAAATTGAAACAAAATGAAAATATAGATTTTTTTTGTCCATTTACCCTGCAGAATTTTAATATACGATTTCCTTTTTTTAACAAAAAAAAAGGTCTCCGGTATACATATGGAATTCAGTTTGTTTTGAAAAAATTTCAGATTTAATAAATTGGTTCGAATTTCTGGTTCACTCAAAACCAAATTTTGGTTTTTATGTTTGTCGACCTGACACTGTTTCCGATATGGATACTGTTGGGTTTCCTGGGATCTCATGAGCGAATCCTATTCCTAAGAGATCGATTCTAGGGTTTGCGCAGCGGATGTAAAACAAAAATTATAGAACCCTAGAACCATGCTGCTATTGAAATCGTAGAAACGTTAAGAACGCTTACCTCAATCGATCCGGGGCCTGTCTCTATCGATGAATCGTTCTGATCACGAAAGGCAGGAAGATTACCTCGCCCTCTACACGTATCCACACCTCGGGATGGATTCCAACGATTGGAACTTGTCTGCTAGGACTCGAATCTCTGATCGATTTGTGCACCGAGAAATCCCGAGACTTAGAACTCGTTTTTGGATCTCCAAAAACTCACACTTTTCTGCAAAAGTCGGCTGTCAAAAGTCTCTGCTTAATTAGGGTTCTAATCACTTTCTTATAAAGTGATTTAACCCTAATTTCGGTTTAATTTTCGGAAAACCGGAACCCGGAACGGACGGTCCAGAATTGCACGTGGACCGTCCGTTCCAGCACGTAGAACGGACGGTCTACGTCTACGTTTAGTGCGGACCGTCCGTTCTATCCTCATAGAACGGACGGTCTGCGTGTTGTCGTGGACCGTCCGGTCTGGTTCGGGCGGACCGTCCGTTCTGGACTTTCTGGTCCGTCCGTTCCAGCCCCTTCCGTCTCTGCTTTTCGTCGTTTTCCCTCGTGCATTTGTCCTTCCCTGCGTGTGTGACCCTGTAGGCTCATTCGACATAGCAGTATAACCCGAAATCCCTATTTCGGGTATACAAGTCATAGGCGGTCTCTAGCAAGACACTATGACTACCTATCTCGAATAGAGTGTGTTCGTGATCTTTACGAACGCCAGAGATGATTCCGGTAGATGATCCCTTTGTATCGCGATATCATACGTCGAACATAAGGCATGGACAAGCCACCTTATCTGATTCGACTGCTTTCTCGTTAACTGAGTTTGACTGTCTGAAATAGACGACGTTCGTCTATAGTGCGGCCACACATTCCCACAGTCTCGCTCACACGAGGGGCCCAGCGATATCTCTCTCTTTTACGAGAGGTACAAATCCCGTCTTGACTATCTACAATCCAGTACATGATTCGTTTCGTACCTGATACACGCCTTTATAGTCCTCCTGTGACGCAGGACGTTTGACGTATTCAAAGCACGAAACTCCTCATGTTGGATTCCGTAGATATCTCAGGTCTTAGGATCCAATCATGGAACCGTCATATGAGATTCAAGTCATGACGCTAGTCCATGTGACAATCTCATGCGGGTCATTCCAGTATTCCGTTCTCCAACGAATACCTATGATCGTGATCGTATCCAATACCTATGATCATCTATGTGATCATCAATCACACATCATACTAGTCTTATTATGTCGTTATTCCCATAACGACATAAGACTAAGGAGTTTAGTATCATTCCTAATGATACATGGATTTCATAACAGATCTAGCATGCAAGAACATGTAATGAATAAAATACTCTCATAAAAACACATAGAAAGTATCAATACATCGAATGTATCTCAATAAAGCTCATAATCAGTACATCATAGAGCACTAAACCAACAATCTCCCACTTGCTCTAATCATGAACTGCTAAAATCTAATGCCCATATCCCTAACATGACCCTCATGCTTCGACGAAGGGAGAGGCTTCGTCAACGGATCGGCAATGTTGTCATCTGTCGACACCCTGCAAATGTACACGTCTCCTCTGTCTATAATCTCCCTGATAAGGTGAAATCGTCTGAGTATGTGTTTGGACCGTTGATGGAATCTGGGTTCTTTCGCTTGTGCGATCGCTCCATTGTTGTCACAATACAGAGCAATGGGGCTATCAGCACTCGGAATGACACCCAAATCACCAACAAACTTTCTGATCCAAACAGCTTCCTTTGCTGCGTCCGACGCTGCAATATACTCAACTTCTGTAGTAGAATCTGCAACGGTCGCCTGCTTGGAACTCTTCCAGCTAACAGCGCCACCGTTTAAGCAGAAAACATAGCCAGACTGCGATCTGTAGTCATCCGGGTCTGATTGAAAACTAGCATCGGTGTAACATCTTACAGCGAGCTCGTCTTCCGACCCACCGTATACCAAGAACACATCCTTAGTCCTTCTCAAGTACTTCAGGATGTTCTTGACGGCGATCCAGTGCGACTCACCTGGATCTGACTGGTATCTACTCGTAATGCTCAACGCGTAGGATACATCCGGTCGAGTACAAAGCATGGCAAGGTTCAGAACCAGAACGGACGGTCTGCTGAACAGAACACGCAAGTGGCCAACTTGCTGCCTTGAGACGCGTTTTTCTCTGCGTTCCCGGGGCCCACCGGCGTCAAATCTCCGACCAATCCGCTCAGGGCGTTGCAGGCTTGACCATAGGCCCGGACCTG